CACACACACACACACACACACACACACACACACACAAACACAAAACACCCACCCACACACAAAGACCCGCCTGCACACACACAAACACCACCCACACCCACCCACCAACACAACCACACACACATTTACTTTCACACACACACACACACACACACACACACACACACGCACGCACGCATACTTTTAACGTTCTATGGTGGGTAAAAGAGTGGGCTTGCTAATCTTTATCGTGTGTGCAAGGAAACGTGGTTCGTATATGATACAGAAGTGAATGGCAAAAGTTGAAAGCAGAGAAGCAAACAAACAGAGAGATGGCATGGAAAGATGCACGACAAACTGCGCAAGGGATGGGGGTCGGCAGGAGAAGAGGGTGGAGAGAAGGCAATGATAGGTCTGCCTCTCACCTTCCACCATCCAATCCCTATTCCAGTCAAGGTGTTCCCTGCAAGAAGTCCGAATGCGCTATCCACCAACCTTTTGCCAGATATTCCATTGTGCCCAGCATCATGTCCAATGAAGCTGAACTGGTTCAAGACGACTCCTAGAAGGAATGCCGACGCTGCATGAACGGCTGTCGACTTGCTGAAAACAACTCCGCACACCGCGAGACTGAAGAACGTAGCCAGCACCGAGACGAGCCGAATATAGAACCAGTAATTCGTCTTGAACATACCATCTGCCTCCATCTTTAACCTGATGTGTCTGAAATCTGCAAGGTGATCAGGTAGTGGGTTCGAAGCCAGCCTGCCAATATAAAACCTGGGCAGGTAGCCAGCAACCTATATGTGTTGTCATCACAAAAAAAAGACAAACGACAGGCACAGAAGTGAGAATTGACTCATTTGAGTGGCTAATTATTTTTTTCTGTTTTTTAACCCTTTTTTTTTCTTTTTTTTTTTGAAGTTTCTTTTTTCTTTTTCCTTTTTTGCAGGCCTCCCTTTCTTTTTTCAACAGAGTTGCTCACATGTTTCTATTGAACTGCCATCGCTAACCTTCCTGCGGATCTGGATCTGCCACATTCAGGCCATACTGACGGAAATTGGCAATTTTCTAGACGTATCTGACTACAATTACGGCCAAACCTGGATGCATCTGACTGTAATCACGTCCAGAGTTGAGTGGAAAAAGTCCTAGTGTGAGCCGTCACTTCAAGACTTTGGGATGCAAGCAGCCGTAGGGTTACACAAACAACCAGAATATTACCCTCTTCCCCCGAATAGAACGGCCATGGAGGGATCTGTTTCTTCAAAAGAAAAAAAAGAAAAAAAAAAAAAAAAAGAACGGCCATTATACCTGTAGCTGGGGCGACTTTCAGCCTACATACAGAGATGATGACCCTACGTTTTTTTATTTTTTTTATTTATTTTTAGAGAACAACCCGAGGTGATGCTAAGGGTGCTGATAGGACCAGGCACCACTAGCACTCCCAGGGAGGCTCCATCTATTGGTGGGGAGCCGCACCTGCTGGAAAGTGGGACCCTACGTTTTTAACGCGGGGTCGCAAGATGTTTACAATTAGGGGAAGAGGGACAAGAGATATGCCGTTGGTCCCCCTGAGTGGCATTGAGCAGAGACTGGTGATTTTCATAGGGGGAGGGGACCGGAGGTGAGGCACAGTGACTGGCCCATCTAAGAAGCTCGGTCCTGATGCTACCGGCTGACCCCTGGCCGGTATCGCCCACCTGCTGCAGCAGGTATCGCACCTGCTGGTGGGTGCAGCTCCCACATGTTCCCTCGTTGGAGGCTTGAGCACAGATGTGGCTGCTACGGGATTCCCCGTAATACTATGATGACAATAAAAAAGGCCTGAAAGGCCTTCCTGTCCAGATTCGACAGGTAATTGAATTGGTTGAGCTTAAAGAATAAGCCTTTCAAAAAAAAAAAAAAAAAAAAAAAAAAAGCAGACATTACAATCTCGGCATTGCGAAAGGTAGGCCAGCCAGACCTGGAGAGAGTTCAAGATTAGCAGAAAACGAAATGGAAAAAAGCATACCACCGTATTACCACGTTCTATCAAATGCACCCAAAAAAATAAAAAGAAAAATAAAAAGAAAATCAATCAGCATGCAAACACCGTTTTATCACACCTCTGGTGCTCCTTGAAGTCGAAGCCAGTAATGCTCCTGGTATCATCTTCGTCTGCCATTTCGTAATCAAAGCCTTGGGCACTGGGGCGCTATTTAAAAAAAGAAAAGAAAAGAAAAGAAAAAAAGCACTGAAACACAGATATGCAATGCAAACTGGTGCGGAAATCCATGGTTGAAAACCTGCTTTCATCCCAGGCACCCTTTTATTGAAATCCATGGTTGAAGATCTGCTTTCAGCCCAGAGGGAGGAGGGGCAGGGGGGGAGATACGCAGAGATAATAAGTTGCCCTTTCGGGATTGGGTTGTGATAGACCCTGGCATCCCCCTGAGGCTGGCAACAGACTTCCCGGACCCTTCCCCCCGCCACCCGTTATTGCTCGTGGAGGTGCCCTCCAGCGGTTGAAAATCCTTGGACGGAGAGGCATTTAATGCCTTCTGTGGAAGCAGTCGTTGCTGTCAGGGTGGGAGGCCTTTTCTAAAAGAAAGTTCTTGGTTTTAACTTATGGATAAGAATTCCAGTTTCGACATCTTCGACGGAGAGAAAGGAGAGAAAGGAGAGAAAGGCAAACGGGTCTTAGCCTCCGGCAGCAGCGCAGGAAAGAGGGGTGCACGGGGAAGAGAGGGCCTGATGGTGGCCCTTAGTGGCCCTGGCGGGTCCCCTGGATCCAGTTTCCAGCATCTGTATTTTTCTCTTTCCTCATCTCATCCTCTTTTATCTCATCCAGAAAAAGAGCTTTTTTTTTTTTTCTTACCCAAATGAATGCTAGGGGTGCTGGTAAGAGCAGACACCTCTAGCACCCCCGGGGAGTCTCCATCTATTGGTGGGGAAAAAGTGCTACTATAGTTGCACCAAAAAAGATTAAAAAAACATGTAATGGGACGCTGGACCCGGTTTCCAGCAGGTGACATTCCCCATCAGGGTGCTAGCAGTGTGTGCTCCTATCAGCACTGCTAGCAACTAAAGGAGATGTTTGCAACAAAAAAAAAAAAAAAATTCCTTTCATTTGCGTTCTGAAATATGTGCTTCTTAGCTCAGATGCAAGATATAGATGAGATGAGAAGTCATCATATAACGTCAAATCCAAGAGCAGAAAACTCAAAGAGTCGACAAGATCGGACAACGGAGCCCCGGGCTGACACAATAATGACCATAGCCCCAGTGAACAACAAACATCAATCTCTGTGTTACAAGATGTATCAATGGGACGCTACCCGGTTTCCAGCAGGTGCCTCTCCCCACCAATAGATGGAGCAGCCCGATGGATAAACCCTCAATTCTGACGGATAAACCCTCAATTTGACGGATAAACCCTCAATTCTGACGGTTCTCTTACCACCACCAGGATAGAGGGCTATCACAAGGGCTATTTTTGCCAAAAAAAAAAAAAAAAAACACAATTGATAAGCCCTCGAACAAGCTCACGTTCCACTCACCCCGTGATCCGCCAATCATTCCGACAACCCCGCCTATGCCCGTCCTACCTTCACGGTAGTATCGGACATAGACCCAAAGAGGGGCCCATATTTTCTGAGTTTTCCTTTCATTTGCCTTTTTTTTTGCTGCAATTGATTTGTTTGGCCCATGCTACAAGGGAGGGGGCCATGATACAGGAGATTCATTTGTTTGGCGCGGCCCATGCGATTCATTAGTTTGGCCCATGCAGTTCATTAGTTTGGCCCATGCAATTCATTTGTTTGGCCCATGCAATTCATTAGTTTGGCCCCCTATGCTTCCCCTATGCTTGCAGGGGTCCCCTGTATAGGCTTAGGAGTAGTGGTAGGTAGATAGTGAAAGGTTACATTGATAGAAGAATTTAAAAAAGAAAAACAAAAACAAGGGAGGGGCTTTGCCCTGGCGACAGCTGGTAGGATAGGCCACCTACCCAACCCATCCCCACATTATGGGTTCCTTGGACACTGGGCCAGTAATACAAAATTTACAAAATTTCCGTTGAGGAAAAAAAGAAAAGGCACCAGACTGAGGGCATGCTCACACTGCAGTACAAAATCCTCATAATCCCCAAAATCCCCCCAAAAAGGTGCGAGGGGCACTCACAATTCCCATTTCCACAAACTACTTATCAGTGAACCCTTTGAACCGTAGTTGCGGCGCACGAGTGCGCAGTCCGATACTGGCTGGTGCACAGTGCGCCGGAATAACAGCACAAGCACTGTGCGCAGTGCGGTGCACTGCAACGGTGTGCGAGGTGCAAAAAAAAAAAAAAAAAAAAAAAAAAAACATTTATACGTGCCCTCGCCGGGGGGAGAGAGAGGGAGAGAGACCAAAGGGCAGTTATTGAGGACCAATGCTTCAACGAGCAGGATGGCCGAGTCATATGTGGAAGCGGTAGGAGCAGACCACCAATATATGCTGTGGGTTGGAGTTCAGGTCTGTAGCTCGGCAGTTATGGGTCACCAATTCAGCTAGACCCTGCTCTTGTCTCGAGGTGATTCTCAGGGCCTAGCTCCACCATTCAGTGGTACTCACCAAATGTATAACATTAGAATGAATCTTCTGCTAAGACATGGAACCATACACCGCCATATGCTGTCTTTTGTGCATGTGGTGAGTAGTGGGGCGAGGCCCCTTGCACCACTGTACGTATTCATAAGAAAACAGAAAGTGAGAACCGAGAAAGTTACAGGCATCTTCATCCTAACCCCATAACTGCTGACATGCAGACCTGAATGACAATCTTCAGCTTATATTTGTTTTTTGTTTTTTGTTTTTTTTAATGTGGTCCGATGGACCACGGATCAGATATTAAACTGATCAGAACAGATACTACACTTGATCTTAGCCAAAAGGCCGAGAAAGGTATAAAGCTTATATTTGTGGCCGGCTGGCCTTGCCAAACACATCTCGTGACTGCTGCAAAGCACAGTGGGGCAGGTTGCTATTGGGCAGTTACACGGTTACACCCTTCTCACAAATTTCTTCCACCACTGTGGGATTTGGAGAAGGGAGGGGGAAGGGCAGTTTCCACACCCCCGCCTAAAAGAAATGAGCCCTATTTTCAAGATCCACCATTTCAAATTTTTTGGGCGAGGGGCCTGCAGAATTTGAAATTCGGCAGCCATTTGGGGTATGAAATTACGAAACCCCTACATTTTTATTTCTCCGACATTAATTTTTCTGGTGCGGTGCGCAACACGTGCGCAAATCACCGAGGTGCGCCGCAACTATGCTTTCAACCCTTTCGTCAGCGACTTGAGGGGGCACGGGGGTTGGGAATCCCAAATTCCTTGTTCTTTTTTTAATAGAAAATCCGTAAAACGGAGATATTGGCAGGATAGCAATTGGGGAAAAGTTTCAAAAAAAAAAAACAACAGAAAATCGGGTGAGGGGAAAAGGGTGCCCCCTAAGAAATCATGAAACCCCTAATTTTTTTTTCCCCGACCTTAATTTTTCTGGTGCGATGTGCAAGACGTGCGCAAATCACCGAGGTGCGCTGCAACTATGCTTTCAACCTAGGCTACCAGAGTGGCCCGGGGTCACTTGCCCGGCTGGGCCAAAAAAAAATAAAAAAATAAAAATAAAAAAATATTTTAAATTTTAATTTTGTTTCTAAATTTGGTGAAGAATTTCGATGTGACCCTGAGGCATAAAAGTGTCTTTACGAATTAGACCCCAGATGTATGCCCAACAGCGAGGGGCCCTGTTGGCCAGAACTTAAATCCACGAGCAGCAA